TTTTCCTCAGGGGGATTCGTGTTCATCCCAGATCGATTAAGAGAAACAATTTGAAAAGCCATGAAATTGGATTAACCTAATACAACATTATCTAAGATTATTCAAAATTTGCAGCGGAATGATATTTGACACAAGGAACTATTTTTGAATATGGTGTCTGGAACTCATTAGTGCAATTAGGTTATACAAATTTGTATGTTTAAAATTTGTCATTGGACTTGTTGCAATTCTGAACTAATTATTCAATTTCTTTTGCCTTGGAAATTTATATAAGATAAAGATGGTTTGTTTGTATTCATTTTCTTGTTTTCTACGCCGATTTTGACCCACGATTTTGGTAATATCTCAGCTGTTGAACCAACTAATTCAGTGGTGTAATACTACGTCATTGCACACCTGCTGTGAGTGGGAGCATTGAGCATGTGCGCGATGTCATAGTATCATACCATTGTAACTGGCTTTCCAGGAAATTTAACCAATAATCATAATTTTTTCCGTAAGAGGCCAGTTACATATCCTACATGATTTAAATATCAGCAGTGAGACAAATGATCGCGGGAGTCAATACCCAAGACCAATTGGTACGGGGAAATTACATCGTCAAAGGATTGAACCCATGAGCCCTGGATTACATAGCCTTCCCTATTGAGCTAAGTGGGCGGACACTGGAAGTTCACATTTCTCCTCACATGTCATCATCAGATTATGGTGCCACATTAAAAAAAAAAACAAAAAAAAAACTCGGCAATATTAAAATCAACACGTTTGATATAAACAACACACAACATTAGCGCCAGACATAATTAATGACTGAAAAAACTTGCACTTTGCTACATGTTTGTTATCAATTAAAGCCTAATTTGATGAAGTTCATGAGGTTGAAATAAAAAAAATTAATATTGTTATCCTGATTATAGGCTTTTGCAGTTTAAGCATATTCCCTTAATATATTCTAATAAATATGAGATAATAAGCTTTCAAGCGCTATATTAGTAGCGGAATCAAGCAGCAGATTATATTTTGTGGACACATTTTGAATTTACCTTTGCAAAAACAAAAATATGATGTACTATGCCACTTTCAATGGTATAAAATGAATTTTAATAACTTTTACTATGTTTCTTTGATTTGATTTTTTCTTCCCTCCATTCTCTATGTAGAGTGAAATAACATTTGATAATTGTACCATGGTATCATCATGATATAAAATATATGAGAATGGTCTAAAATGCCTTAAACTTTCTTTCTTTACACTTTACACGCTTATTCAGTATGAAAAAGAACGTTTCACACATTTAAAGTGAACTTTAAAGGCGGTAATTTCCTCGCTACCGCATTGACTAGGTAAAAAACGGAATCCTCAAAGAAAGGCCTAGGTGCAATTTGATTGAACCTGTTCAGGGACGATAAGTGGTTGTTGCAATATAATGGCAATGTTCTCTAGCACTGGTTTACGATCCCTAGCACCGACTTTTACATAATTCAATGCGAATTGAAAGCGACGTCTGTGTTATGTCGACATCGTGAGGTAACGTCGATTTCGTGAATGAGTCGCTGCATAAAAACTGCTTAAATCACTACGCTGACCCTGAAATTAAGTATTGATTTGATTTACATGAATTACATGTATAATGTAAATACATGTATAAACAGAAATGGTCTAGTTTAACACATGACTGGCGTCTATAGGCTGTGACAAAACTTCATTTTATACTTGAGGTGTTTACATTGGTGCAATATACGCGCAAACTTTGACGTCGAGTCATTTAAAGATCACCGCAATCATAATATATCCTCAAATATAGGCCGAAACTTTGACATATTTTTGATGAAAGATAAACATCTTTATACAGATATATCACAATTACTCTATTTTTATTACTTTTCATTTAGACGGTTGAAAATTTTATTTGATAGTTCTTATTTTAAAAATGTCCATTTCATCGCAAGTAAAATGTGTTTTTTTGTTTTTGTTTTTTTTGGCTTTTCCATGTTTTTGACGCTAGACCGTTACGTAGCCGTAAAACACTTTCATACTGTATTTATAAAAATAACATCACTGACATTTTACATTGGTAACAAAAGAAAGTAATAGTTATTCATTTAAAGGTTAAAAAAATAGCGGCTCTTGTTTTAACTACGACTATTTTAACGCCCGTAAAAATGTGTTTTCCGACTTTTCAATGTTTTTTTTTGACGCTATACTGTTACTTTGCCGAAAAACACTTTCATATCGCATTTAATACAGAATAGAATCATTCTCTAATTTACACTGGTTGCAAAAAGAAAGTAAATTTTAATCATTTAAAGGATAGAAAAAAGTAGATAAAACTTATTTTGTTGGAATTATACCAATTGTATATATCATCGATTTAAAATTGATATTATTGAACCCATTTCATCAAATTACCGACAAAAACCAATTTCATCAAATAACCATCAAAAATAGTTTATATTGCTGAATTAATATTTCTTTGTATTTTAAGTGTTTTTCGGTATTTTTTTTTATGTTTTTCGGCAAGTAATATAAGCAGATTAAAATAACATAAATTTAATGTATATATTTTTTAATGCTTACACTGATTTACAGTTTCAAATGATTATTTCTTCTCGTCGAATCTGGCCACATATGCCTATATTTAGCTCATCGTCAATATCCCAAGTTCGACGAATTGTTTTGGGTCGAACAATCGAGCGGCCGAATCTTTATTTTTACCCGTACTGAATCAGGCAATCTTCGCTGAATTTCGAAAAATATTTCTTTTCAAAAATCTAAGGCATACAAAAGTGAAAGGAAAATCAAGTGTAAAAGAATAGCTTACGAAATTTCTATTTTTCGAAGTCACGATAATTGCCAGGTTTTTTTTAAAGAAAAACATTTTCCGGTATACGCTGGTAAATTTTGTTACGGAGCTCCATACTCATTTTGTAAAACATTTAATGGCAATTTTATTGCATAAATGTAAATCAGGAATTTTATTTGATTTAATATCTATCCCAGTCATATAATACACCGATATACACTTTCAGAACTAGCAGACGACAGGCTATTCTTATCAGTTGTATTTCGAGTAAAGATAACGGGTTGCGTATCTCACTGTATAAATCGCATGTAAAATGGTCTGACATATGGTAGGTTTAACAGGTAATTTAAATACTTTGGAGTCAAAAGATGTATTGAAGTTTGTACTGTGATGAAGCTAAGATCCAAAGCTTTCTATTGGTGTAATTCATTTTAAAATCGGACGTTTAATCACAACAAACTAGCGGTTTAAAAACAGATTATTTTGTATTGTTTTAGCATAAGCGGTATCGATTTTACTCTGACGACTTTACTATATTTACGATGTATTCATTCATGCTAGCAAGCGCATGCGTATATGCGAAGTTTATCGCGTAGGTATAAACTACGATTTTATCAATGAACTGTTATTTTTTGTTTTCTTTAAAGGAATGTAGTGTCTATTATTTCATGAAAATGAACGATTTGGAACTTTCAAAGTATTTAAACAACTTTGCAAACACTATTTTAATGATGTGTAGTCGGAATGTAATGCTACTGCAGAATGAAGAACTAGTTTCTGTTGTTCGGTAACGACATAAACCTCTAACGATTTCTGAGATATAGCTTATAACTCTGTATATATTGCAAGCAATGTATACAAAAATGAACTTATACAAGAAAATACATACAGATATACAGTACGATTTAGAAAATACCACAGAGCTTGCAGCCCTTTGATCCTAAATGTAAGTCTTTACAATGACCGCTGTTGGGCAACATCTCTCAGCAGAGAGAGGTTGGGATTTCCCTATCCTATATCTAAATCAATGATTGATTATTTTCTCTCTCACCTGGACACAATAAATATCAGTGAAACTACTTGCTACGCGCATTACAACGTACCTAGGTAAATTGAATTTGACCCTTTTCTTATAGCGTAATTTAACAAACTTAAACATAATTAATGAACAACAAAATGCATATCTATGTTGTGCATGCATCTCTTTTTCATGCCCAACATTCGTTTTTACATTTTCGTCATCGTTTTCCTGAAAATAATAATAAAATATACACTGTTAGGTTTTTATTTTTTGCCGAGTGTATATTGTAATTTGTTTCTTCATTAGAGATTTGTTAAATTTATCTTATCGTACCCATTTGAATGTCTTGCTTGCATGTTCTTATGTGACTGGATAACGTTTATAAAAAATAAAGAACGATTTAAGAGTATGGATTACATCACAAATATAAACACAATCTGTTTCAAATTATTCCTGATTTAGCTGTCCTATATAGTATGCATATGATTTCGCGCTGACCTTTTTAAACTTGTTATTTTAGAGTTATCTTTTGGTCAGTCATTCATTCATTCAAAAAGTACCTTTAATGGAATGATATTGTCTGAAATCGCTGGACAGTTGTCAAAATAACCCGACAGGTTGATAGAAGGAAATATATTTTAGAGTCGCAGTGAAGACTGATCCATTCATAATACCGGCTATGTTTTGGAATAAAACTAAATCCCTGCTTTGAAAATGTTTTTTTTTTAACACAGCTTGCTTTGATGAAACTCTAAAGAAATCAATTACTCCGGAACCAGGTGGAAAACAATTCAGATGTTTATAGTGTTGCAAAACGGAGTACAACTTTTTGTACCAGATATTATATTGAACATTAGGAAAACTGTCTGCTTCTGGAGAAACTTGTTTCTACATACATATACACACAAAGGCAATCGTCCTTATTCTATAATCACAAGGCACTGCATGGGAGGTTTTTTTTAAGCAAAAGTATTCCAATTTAATACGTGATAAGAAACGAAAACAATGAAAATTATTGTTTTGTTTTATTCAACAACAATGGAATAAAAGAAAGCATCATTAAATGTTATTTACTAGGATATATCGTTCATGTACAGTCTCATTTAAATTGAGCGGCGGTTCCTTAACATTGTCGTTTTGCTGTTTGACGACCTTGAAAGTTTCTTTATATACAATCATTTTGTTTGAAGTAGATCATTTATCATGAAAGCTATGTGATATACAGCTGCATTCTTTACAGCTGGGTAAACTTTTATAGATTTTGCAAAATATTTGAAGGACGATTTTCTGTCACCCGATACGTATTTCATATGACCAAATAAGTTCAAATGCACAAAGTGAAAATAATTATCAAAATCGTAAGTTGACAATGCGTTCTCAAAGACTTTCTGCATTGACTTCTTTTCTTTACATAGTCTCAGGTTATATGCACACAAATATAATAAATAGCAGCTCAGAATAAGCGGGTCACATTGAATGTTACATCTGGGTCCAAATAAATATATCTGAAGTTGCAAAGGATAAGGAATACTGTCACGGTCGTCCCAATAAAATGGAAAATTTAGCACTATATTTTGTCGATTTCTAGCGGGATCACAAGATCGTAGAATTGGAAGAAAGTCTTTAAGTTTCCCTGTTTTTAAACATATAGCTGAGCAAGGCCATGTAGAGAAAGGTGTTATATAATATTTGCCAGACTCATCTTGCAATTTTGGTAAAAGTATGCTCCTTATATCAGAAAACCTCCTGTATTCAAAGTATATTACTGCACATGTTAATGGCACTGTCAAGTAATCAAATTCCTTAAATTTCAGTATCTTAGAGATATAACTGTCGATTTCCTGTTCTGGCGGACGGGGACACTTTTTGAGTTGTGAAGTAGTAAACGCTAGACGTATACAGGGCGAAAGATCTTTGCCATCTTTTCCAAATGTTATTTCTATACTTTCGCAAGTGGGTTCTACAAGAGATTGGTTCAAAGATCCTGGAGATGTGACAGCCATTGGAATAATGCTGTATCTTCCGAAATATTCTGCAAGTGAATGGAACTGTTCAAGTGAAGTATATTTTTCTCGTCTAATGTCGTTATTTCTACACAATAAGGCAAGCCGAATTTCTTGAACTCGGTATCTTAAATTTTCCAAGTTTATTTTAATGTTTAGGTTATTGAGAACATCATCGATTAATGTTTTCGCTTCCTTTTTTTCGGCATTATTTTTATGAAGGAAAAGATTTTTTTCCGGAATAATATAATGAGGGAGAATACCCTTTTCAACGTATTCGGCTAACTTAAGAAGACCGTTTCGTACACAGTGAACCAAAAGTTCACTTTTCCAATCAGTTTCAGGAGTTTCTTCGCAAAGCCAAAGTGCAACATTTTTAATATGATAAGACGATATGTCTTTCAAGTATTGTTTGTTAAGTGCCTTCAGTAGTACAAAACATTTGAACTGTGTATCATTCATGCTCCATATCAGATGTCTCTCAATGGCTGTGAATGAAATCCTCCATTCCATGTCTTGTTCTCTAGATGATTTGCTACCAATCGGAACAACATAACAGGAGACGTTTGTATCTAACGAATCTAAAGTATTTTTGCTCGGCCAATTGTTCTTTCTTTTACGAGTCTTCCATATAATTGCTTCGGAAGGCCATTGGTTTATTTCTAAACATATGACTGTATCTAAATTACCACAAGTCATTGCTGGTCCATTACATGTAAATATTGCTTTGTTTGGACTTTCAGGAACATATCCACCTGGAAGGACTTTCTCACGGAACAATTTACTTGAGAGAAAATAGACATTGTTCTTTTTTTCTATCAGTTTAGATATCTTTACTCCTTTGAGAACACGAGTAATGCCTATATTTTTAAGCATTGAAATTGTATAATTATCGATTTTTATTTTGCAATATCCTAAACTGCATCCATGTCTGGAAATATAAACAGGTATCGGTTGAAAACATTGTAATAAATCATGATTAATACCTCCGCATCTCTCTTCTATAACAGTAAATTCGTTAACCACTTCCATAACATCAAAGTCACTTCCAAATAGATCCGACCCTTCTGGAAAGCTGCCACTAATTATAACCTTTCTTATGAAACGTTCTTCGAGAAATGCTCCTATTAACTTTGTTATCTGATTTGTTTTTCTAGCTTCTACACTATATCCATTTATATCTAGTCTTTTGTTTATTTTTTTGTTGATATCCATGGCAATGTCGGATCACTAATTTACATTAATAAAACTTACTAAAAAATGATTATTGAATCTTCTAAGCCTTATTTTTTTAATAACTTTGAAATGCACAGTTCTAAAGTCGTTATTTTACTACACTTTAAATGCTGGCCTATGTGAATAATTTTGTTATATATCGTTAAGTACATACACATTGAATTTCAATTGTATAGAAATGATTGCCTCATGCTGAATAGAATTATAATCTATGTTTCCCTTGCAAAGCTCCGACAAAGAATTATTTTGAAGTGAATGACAAAACCGTCAAAACTTAAATGTACACAAAACGTGTCAATACTACCATTCAAGTATTCAGTCATAAATGGTATTGGATCAATGTAGGTATTGAGCGAGCTGAATAACATCATATTATGCAAACCTCTTACGCGCATTATAATATTTTATTTAACGCATTCGATGAAGTTACGAATATGTCGTTCTACACTTAAAGAAGATTGTGTTTTTTTTCAAATTACTTATTTATAAAATTCTAAAGAGAGAGGTTTGTGCCCTCTAAAAGTTTTTTTTTCAAAGTGAACATTTAGCACTAGAAAGATAAAGTGTCTTATGATCATTTAACAATTAAGAATAATATGGCTTTCTTCAGGCCGTTAACATATAACATTACCGTGCGCGCTCGCTTAGGAAGCGAGAGGTCTGGAGTTCAAATCCCAGATAACGCAACTCATTTTTTTTTCAAATTGTTTAAGTCAAATAAAAATTGAATTGAATATCAGTGTTGCAATTAGTCTTATAGCCAATTTACTACAATTTAAACTCTGGAAAGCATTGGTGGCACTATACAAAAACAAATTGGTTTATAATCTCACAACCTTCACCTTTCTGACATTCTGAGACCCAAACAAATTCAGCGCCTTCTGTGCTTTGATTTATAATCGTCGGTATTAAATAACTTTTAGTCGTTTATAACCGGAATTTAGTACATAGCGATAAAGAATGATAGATTGTAATTTATGTTATGCCCAAGATTTTGAAAAAATAACGTTCCGATTTGCTTGATTAGTAATTATATAATTGTTGCACAGACTAGAACAATGGAAATAGAGATGATATGAATGAAGCTAAATGATAAGAAATATGTTATAAACAGTTGAATTCCATTCCATTAAATTGTAAGTGGAAAGCAATATCCTAAAATTAATAAATATATTCTATATTTGAAATCAGGTAAATGCCATCCATGTGAAAGAAAAAAAAACGCAGAGAAACAGAGAAGTTAAGGGAATACTTGGATTAAAAGATTTACTTATCTCCAGGAAGCAGTATCAGGGCAAAATTACTAGCCATTACGAAGGAGGGAAACATATATGTGAAAGATGTGAAGTATTTTCTTTCGCAAGTCAACTTACGTCACACATGATAATTCACACTGGTAAGAAAAACTATAGATGTGATGTGTGTGATAAGTCCTTCCCTAGTTATGGTAATCTGAAAGCTCATACTCGAATTCACACTGGTGAGAAAAATTATAAATGCGGAAATTGTGAAAAATCCTTTTATTTTAAATATGAACTTAAAAAACATTTTAGAATTCATACAGGGGAAAAGAATTTCACTTGTAAAATTTGTGATGTCTCATTCACGTATAGCAGTACTCTTAAAGAACATTTGCGAATTCATACTGGTGAAAAGAACTTTGTATGTGAAATATGTGACAAAGCATTTGCCCGTGGTAGTGGTCTCAAATTGCATATGGCCATTCACACTGGTGCAAAAAACTATAAGTGTGACGTATGCAGTAAATCATAGACTCAAAGAAGTGGTCTTCAAGCGCATATGAACATTCACACTGGTACAAAAAACTATAAGTGTGACGTATGCAGTACAAAGTAAATCATTCACTCAAAGTAGTGGTCTTCAAGCGCATATGAACATTCACACTGGTACAAAAAACTATAAGTGTGACGTATGCAGTAAATCATTCACTCAAAGAAGTGGTCTTCAAAGGCATATGAACATTCACACTGGTACAAAAAACTATAAGTGTGACGTATGCAGTAAATCATTCACTCAAAGTAGTGGTCTTCAAGTGCATATGAACATTCACACTGGTACAAAAAACTATAAGTGTGACGTATGCAGTAAATCATTCACTCAAAGAAGTTGTCTTCAAGTGCATATGAACATTCACACTGGTACAAAAAACTATAAGTGTGACGTATGCAGTAAATCATTTACTCAAAGAAGTGGTCTTCAAAGGCATATGAACATTCACACTGGTACAAAAAACTATAAGTGTGACGTATGCAGTAAATCATTCACTCAAAGAAGTGGTCTTCATGCGCATATGAACATTCACACTGGTACAAAAAACTATAAGTGTGACGTATACAGTAAATCATTCACTCAAAGTAGTGGTCTTCAAGCGCATATGAACATTCACACTGGTACAAAAAACTATAAGTGTGACGTATGCAGTAAATCATTCACTCAAAGAAGTGGTCTTCAAAGGCATATGAACATTCACAACGGTAAAAAATATCTATAAGTGTGACGTATGCAGTAAATCATTCACTCAAAGTAGTGGTCTTCAAGCGCATATGAACATTCACACTGGTACAAAAAAACTATAAGTGTGACGTATGCAGTAAATCATTCACTCAAAGAAGTGGTCTTCAAGTGCATATGAACATTCACACTGGTACAAAAAACTATAAGTGTGACGTATGCAGTAAATCATTTACTCAAAGAAGTGGTCTTCAAGCGCATATGAACATTCACACAGGAATCAAAAAGTATCAGTGTGAAATATGTGAGGAAACATTCGCTCAAAAGTGTGGACTTAAAAGGCATTTGACAATTCACACTGGCCATAAAAACTTTAAATGTATAATATGTGATAACACATTCACTAGAAAAGAATCACTGAAAACTCATATGTTAATTCACACTGGTGAGAACAATTATACAAGTGAAAAGTGTGATGAAACATTCTTACAAAAAAGTAATTTGAATTCACATATGATTATCCACACTCGCTTGAAAATTTTTAAATGTGATCTCTGTGATAAACATTTTCATTATAAATCTTATCTTACCTCACATATGAAAAGTCACTCAGGTTATTTACAAAGGCACGTGCAAAAGAACCATCTTGGACCCAGTTGTGAAGTTAGTAATAAATAAGTCAAAGATGGGGGTAAAAAAACAAATGACCATTTACAAGGGAGCAACGAATCAGTTACAAACGTTTTGTTGCATGCTATATTCAGAGGATATTGAATGAGTGTAGGTTTATACTAATTGATTGAACGAGTTAAATAAAATCATATTATACGAGCCTCTGGCGAGCATGGTATTGTTTTATTCAACGAGTTTAATATATTAAGTATTGAATCTACATGAATATAATATTCTATTTATCACATATACAAAATAAGAAAACTGTTAAAAAGAGTCATTATTCATTGTCGCGCCTATAGTGTAACGCTAACATTGAACATTGAGCTCTTGAACGCTATGTTTATATATAGCGCAAAATTATTGACGTAACGTCAAAGCGTTATTACACTAGTGCGATAGCGTTTTTATTAAATGGCTTTATTGTACATCTGCAACATGTGATCAGTGACTTTACGTCGTACCCATGCCGATTTTGCGACTCCGTAAAATTGGTATTGCATAACCGTGCATATAGTATAATATAATATAATAATATTTATTAATTATTTTAATATACGTTACGTAAACATAATGTAAAGACGCGCTAAATTTTAGTGTTACACTTTAGGCGCGTCAATGAAAAATTAATCTTTTTTGCACTTTACACAGTCTTTATTTTAGTTATGTGATAGATTAATTATCATATTCGTGTAGATTCATTACTGAATTTATTGAACACGTTAAATGAAAAAATATTTTGCTCACCAAAGGCTCGCATAATATGATTTTAGTCGATTCGTTAAGTAAATTCAGTATTGAACCTACACTCATTCAATATCCTCTATTATAATACATGTATATTGTTATTACTAATGCATAGATTTGAAAAGGCGATGACTATGGCTTATCTTTTATTTATGCAAATCTTTGGGACACGCCATGTAGACGTTATTTGTTTATAGTCATACATACGTCTAAAGACAAGTTGACTGATGACATCACAAGCACCTGCTACCAGAATTTTGCAGATATATTTATTTGCAAAAAAGAGCGAATATTGATATTTAGAAGCAGCAGAAGTTTTTAATTCTGATAACATTTCTTTTTATTTGTAGATCTTTAGATTGATATGTGAATTTAAATTGTATTTATCATGTTTTGCGACTTGGAGTTATGTATCCGTCTCATAGAGTAATGACATTTTGCCGAGTTGCCCACATTGAAGTTATACCATTTTCTACGGAGTCGCAAAAGCGCCACGGCTATGGGATACTTAACGTTAACGCACGCAACTGAGAGGCATGTTTAAAATCAAAATACTCGTGGTAATGCACACTACTTACGTGTCTGTTTAATTTTGAAATACTGTGATGTATGTTTGAGTTTTCATTTTATTAACTTGTCATAAATCAGTTTTATATGTGAACATAATTATGTTATGTTTTATGTTTTGTTTGTTGATTATCAATTTTCATGCGAGTAAATATGTAGTGTATATAAGGAAATGGTTTTGTAAATGATGGACATTGTATTTTGTACCAATCGTAATAAAGTTTTGTTTTAAATTTCTTCACATTTCACGGCATAAACTTGAACAAGTTATTTTCTAAAACGAAAGAATACCCCCCAAAAAAAAAAAAAAAAAAAAACCAAAACAAACCCCAAAACAAATCAAACAACAAAACCAAACAAAACACCACACAGCAAGAGCATATTAATAAATACTAGCATCCTCTCTAAATTGTGTACTATTAACCTCCCTTTGTCGCGAAAAACGCGAATATGTTTTAGATGTTTATCTTATATAATTGTAATCGCCGGGTTTGTTACTGGCGGGTTTATGTTGACAAGGTTTTCACCCATTTCATGATTTGTACGTGCAGTGCATCGTGTTTAATTAGAATTGTTATCTTGCTTTGTCCAGTCCGCTTTAGATTGAGAAAAGTAATAGATTTTATTCAGTTAAAAAATATATAAATAAAAGTTTAAAGTGGGAACATAAGTTGTATTTCGGCGAATGAATACTGCTAAGATTGTACAAAATACATCTGCTGTTTTGTAGTTAAATTACAAGCTTTTAATTTCTGTCTCACTCATTTATAGGAATTCGTTAATGCTCTATTTTCATCTTTGACCAGTTCTCCTCAGGGGGATTCGTGTTCATCCCTGATCGATTAAGAGAAACAATTTAAAAGGCCATTAAATAAATGTGACAACACTGTATTGGATTAACCTGATACAACATTATCCAAGATTATTCAAAATTTGCAGCGGAATGATATTTGACACAAGGAACGTTTTTTGGATAGGTGTCTGGAACTGCATTATTGCAATTAGGTTATACAAATTTGTATGTTTAAAATTTGTCATTGGACTTGTTGCAATTCTGAACTAATTATTCCATTTCTTTTGCCTAGGAAATTTATGTATGATCAAGATGGTTTGATTGTATTCATTTTGTTTTCTACGCCGATGTTAACGCACGTTTTTGGTAATATCTCAGCTGTTGAAGCAATAAACTAGATGGTGGTATAATACGTCATCGCGCACCTGCTGTGAGTGGGAGCATTCAGCAGGTGCGCGATGACGTAATATCCTAGCATTGTAACATGTCTTCCAGGAAATATAACCAGAAATCATAAATTTCTCCGTAAGTGACCGACTTCTTATCCTGCATGATTTCTTAATTAACGGTATGAAATGACCCTTGGAGTCAATGTCAAAGACCAATTGTTACGGGGAAATTACGCCTCGCTCGAGGATTGAACCCACGGCCCTGGATTACATAGCTGGGGCTTTCCCTATTGAGCTAAGTGAGCGGACAATTATGGAAGTTTGTATATTCTCCTTCTTGTCATAATCAAGTTATGATTCCACATTAAAAAAAATATTCGGCATTATTAGAATCAACACGTTTGATATAAACAGCGCACACCTTTAGCACCAGACAGAATTAATGACCAAGAAAACTTGCACTTTGCTAGATGTTTGTAATCAATTAAAGTCTAATTTGATGAAGTTCGTGAAGTTGAAATAAAAAAATAATATTGTTATATTTTGGATTTTCTTTTGCAATAACAAAAACATCATGTACTATGCCATTTCAGTAGTATAAAATGAAGCGTGACTTTTACTATGTTTCGTTAGATTTGATTTTTCTTCCCTCCATTCTCTTAGAGGATTGAAATAACATTTGATAATTGGAACGGTCTTAAATGCCTTAAACTTACTTTCTAAGGACTTTACAAGCTTATTCAGTATAAAAAAAGAACGTTTAACACATTTAAAGTGAACTTTAAAGGCGGTAATTTCCTCGCTACCATACTGACTAGGAAAAAAACGGAGTCCCCAAAGAAAGCCCAAGGTCCCATTTGATTGAACCTGTTCATGGACGATAAGTGGTTGTTGCGATCTAACGGCAATGGTCACTAGCACCGGCTGACGGTCCCTAGCACTACTTGAGCAGAATCGACGTTTGTGTTATGTCGACATCATGAGGTATCGCCGATTTCGTGAATAAGGCACCGCATAAAAAAAAACTGCTTAAATCACTACGCTGACCCTGAAATTAAGTAATGATTTAATATACATGCATTACATGTATAATGTAAATACATGTATAAACAGAAATGGTCTAGTTTATCACGTGACTGGCGTCTATAGGCTGTGAAAAACTTCATTTAATACTTTGAGGTGTTTACATTGGTGCAATATACGCGCGAACTTTGACGTCGATTCACTTAAAGATCACCGCAATCATAATATATCCTCAAATATAGGCGGAAACTTTGACATATTTTTGATGAAAGATAAACATCTTTATACAGATATATCACAATTACTCTATTTTTATTACTTTTTCAATTTTTGAGGATTAAAAAACCGAAAACATTTTTATCTATAATACGTTATTCTGTAACATTTATAAAGAAACATACATTTTTTTGTCTTATTGAATATTTGATATCTATGGCATAGCTAAAGGGCGTCTCACTGGTTTAACTGGTTTAAAATATTTGGCTTTAAATGAAAACAACAACAGCAGCAGCGGCAGGAACAACAACAACAACAATAACATTAACAGCAACAACAGTGAAAATTAAAAACAACAGAAATAAAAATGACAACTATCCATATCTATGATGAGGACCACAACAACAGTCATGTCCTCCCCCGAATAAAAAAAAATACAATAAAAACAATACCAATTAAAAATGATGATGATAATAATTAAATTAGTATTGATCAATAAATAACGTTCGGTTTTCAGAATTGAAAAAAAAAATGCAGTTAACTCACTCGTACTGTAACAGTATATGAAGAATTAGTTAAAAGAATACAATAATTTTTACAGTACCTCTTTATCTTTAAATTTGCAAATTATTA